TTGAGAAAGTGAGATTGGTGAAGAATTTTAAATTTTAAATTTTAAGTATTACTTTAAGGTGACATGAGCAATGCAGTTCTATTGCTATAATTCAGCGATTCAATTGTATACCTAATTATGAACTGAAATATCTGAAATATACGCCTTTTATTTAAATTAATATAGTCAGTTGTTAATAATTAATTAGAATTTTGTGGTGCAAGAACTGACTGGAAATATTGTTCCTAAACTGTTTTTGATCTTAAAATGAAATTTTGTGCAGCGCCAAAGAAAAAAACTCCTTACCTCTTAAAATAAAGAAATTCAAATAAATTTTTTTTTTTTTTTTTATTGCTAGGTAATCTGTATTGGCTAAGTGAATAGTTGGCAACAGAGTATCAGAGCTCTTTTCTCACTTAGCGTACAGCTGAAAGAATACTCTTAATTTACATGATCTGCTAGTTTATTATAAATTCTTTTTAAAAGTATTAAGCAGTTTAGGAAGTACAATTTGGTATTTGATTATTATTTTTTTTTTTTTTTATATTTTATAAATTTTGAAAATGCTCAAAAGAAAGCATTATTTTCTCGCTCAGAAGACACTCATACAAAAAAAAAAAAAAAAAAAAAAAGTAAATAAATAAATAAATAAACATAAACTAAATATTTTCCATATGTATAAACCCATCCATAGTGTTGATGGCTGATTACAGATTTGCAGTTTTGTATCTGTTTTTGTATGTTCCGTCGTAATATTCATGGAATCGTTTATGTAAAATCCAATTTATCTGTGTGTTTGCCTAAGCCATGTAATGCTAATCCATTGATATCCATAAAAGTTGACTGTTTTATAATGCAGGTGTATAAAATCTTGTGTATATTCAGTGCCTTCAAGATTAAAGAATTGTTTCTCTCTGGCATCCGGAATTCTTGTGAAATTCTTAGCTGTGCTTCAATTAATTATGGTCAAGTCATAAATTAAAGGAGGAAAAATGTTGTTGGACTAACGGCTGACAAAAAGGGCGACAAATGATTTCCGCTGCTAAATTATCCACTTCCGTTGCATGTACATCATTTGTATGCCCCACGAAACTCTCGCCTTGACTGCGAACAAAGTTGGACAACACCTGCAGTAGCAGAAACTAGCTCCACGACTGGGCGGGGGCTGGGGAGGCGCTGGGGAAGGAGATCGCTTCCAGCTGAAGGTGTGAAACGGGGGCTGACTTGGCGTGCTGAATTTTAAAAATACATGCGGAATTTAAATGACAAGCAACTAATGGAAATTGTTAACAATTTTCAATGGCAGGTGGCAGGAAACTTTGTTGTGACCTGCTGCGACTGGGTGCGACTCGAGCGGCAGCCTTTGCATCAAAAATCAGCGCAGAGCACAACAAATGGCTTCATTTATTTGCGTCTTTTGTGCAGTGCTAGCGGTACTTCCGCCCGCATTGGGCGTGAACAGCTGAAGAAATCCTGATTTACGCTCACCACGCCCCCCCAACACCGTCCATGCGTCGCCCAGCCCAGATGCCGCGTGCGAAAAGTTTGCCCTAACAAGCTACAAGCTGTCGAGCTTAAGCATCGACGACGCTCGATTCCCCTACGCGAGCAGGGCAGATGGCAAAGGCAGTCGAAGAAGACATAAAATCTAAAATATTTATGCCAGATGCGCTTATCTATTCGATATTTACATATTTCACATATACTTATTGTTGGATAGCAACATTTTTCCAACCCAAATGGGCGAAAGTTGTGTATAAATTGAAATATATAAAAAACTGTGCCAACAATGGTTTGTTTGTGACCAATTCTTAAATATGGTACACGCTTTTATCGATACATATCGCATTGTTAACGATGATATTTTCAACACTTATTCATATTTATTTATTTGCATGAATTTACATATTTATATTTATTAATCATTAACACGAAACGAGTTATTTTAGGGAAATAAACTTATCGACTCAGGGGACTTACATAATTGTTAAGAAACTAACAGAACCCAGAGCTAGAATTTAGAAAATGTTGCCCACTTTTGGCAAGAAATATTTAATGTTTATAAGACGAGAGTGGAAAGTTGTAAGAAAAGTTGTTGTTGCAGCACTTGCAGTGATTGAATGTCCAAGACGCGTTAATGTTTTCTCTTTCGTGTGTTTTGCGGCATTTGTGCTGGAAGAAAACTTTTCCTAAAGCAGCACAACTAGAACGAAAAATTGAAAAATTGAAAACCCTCACTAAGTTTTGCCGCAAACTTTAAACTTTTGGACCTAGTCGAAAGGCAGCTGCGATAGCAGACTTTATTTATATATGTATATTTATTGTTTTTATATATGTATATGTACATACATACATCTATATACATACATCTGATATGTATATTCATGTATGTATATACATATGCATATATAAAACTTATTATATTATTTATAAGAAACAAACACTATTCATAATTCATTCCCTGAAGATATCTGTGGACGGTTCGGGTGCAAATGAATTGGAATTTGTATAGATAGAGTTGTCACAAGAGGTGTCAAGGCTGGTCATCAGCCGACGCAATCGACGTCTTCCGCAGCCCTCATAGGTAAGGGCGGTCTTCAGTTCCATTTCCTCGTTGTTGACTCGCAGGCAAATGTCAATGAACAGAATGAGATCGATGTTCTGCAGTTGCTTGGCGTACCTAAAGGCCTCATTCAGCATTTGCTTCTGCTTTTCCACTTTTCCCAGCACGGTGTGAGCTTTGCAGGCGATGAGGGCGCTCAGAGCGCCCCACACATAGTGCCGGCCCTTCTCGGCTTCTGGAAGATTATATATAAGAGAGGTCTGCCGATATGATAAGTGATCATGCATACCATCCATTGCCTTGCGGGCCAGCTGACAGCATTTGTCGAAGGAATGATTGTTCAAGTGCGCCTGCGCCGCCTCGTGGTACAGATAACAGCGCTCGATGGTATATTTGGCGAATCGCAGGCGCGTCTCGAATTGATCCATACGGTGTCTGCAATATGAATGAGATACAACTCTGCTAAATGAATATACAAATGTCTATATCTCACTTGAGCACCGCCTTTGTGTCCTCGAACTTCTCCCTTTTGATCTGGCCTAAATCATTCGTGATTACATTTGTCACATTGGAGACATGATGTGATATCCTAAATAGATCCAGCAGATTCGATCGCCCCATCGATTTGTATATGTTTGAAATTTTGTATTCATTAATGCGGGCCAAACCCAAGTAATTGATGACCTCATTAATGAATTCAAATTTCCAAGGCATAACGCGGTGCGTCTTGATCGCCACATAGGAGTCCATCACGTTGGCCACGAACTTCGTCAATTTCTAAAATGAATCACTTGTGAATATATATAATATACAAATCATAAATATAACAGTTTACAGTTAGATCATTTCGTTTGATCAAAGCTCGTATGTTTTGCAGCGTCTTGAACATATTTCGCCTCGTTTGATTCTGTATGCGGAAGAAGTTCTCCTCCTGGAACTTGCGCGAGAGCTCCCTATTGGGACACTTTTTGCTGTACATGGGCTGGCGAGCATGCAGCATTTTCTAAGATCAAATGGCAATGAGAATCGCAGCTACTTGTAGAGTATCTTCAATAAAGCCTCACCGTAAAGTTTCGCAGTGTGTGGTAGCGCTCGTTGGTCAGATTTTGCAAATACTCTGATGACTGAACACTTTGCTTCAGTAAAAGATTTGGATTATCGCGCAGATTCTTGAGAAACGTAACATCCATCCAGCTGTTATTCACATAGGCCTGGGTAAATGTCTTGAATCGACGCTCAAGCCGCTTCTTCTCCAGCGGCGAGAGAATCTTCGGCTGAGCACGAATACGAAACAGATGTGAGACTTTGCACTTGAATGGAGTTGAGAGCAATTGATATATTTACCTGTTTTTGTACTATGCTCAGCACATCACAGTCTGACTTCACGTCTTTGGGCAGTGTGGCTATGTCCTTCATCATGCTCGTTATCAGGCGATACACAGACGATTCTGTTTCAGTCGATAGCATGTCGCTAACGATACGATTGATCTGAGAGCAAGTTGGGTAATGGAGTAATTGCGTGCCATGCTGGGATATGCTCTACCTACCAGGAATATACGCTTCTCCATGGCCAGTGCATGCGAATAGGTTAGGTCTTTCATATTGGAGCAGGCGAATCTCATTGCTTCCTCGAACTTATTGGATTCGATGAGAGCATCACAGATCTCCAAATCTATTTCGCGACTCGAGCCGCGAGGATTGTCACGCTTGAAAATCGCTGTGGTAGCTCGAAAGTATAGAAATATTATGAAATATGTTCAATATTTGATGCTTAACCTTTCGAGCGCATCGCGTCAGCAAGCCCTTCCATTGGCCACGCCCTTGCCCGCTTCACCTGACTCCTCTTCAGCAGGGAGTTGATGTTCTCGGGGCTAAGCTTAAGCGCTGCATCAAAATACTTAGTGCCAAGGTTCAGCATCGCGTTCCGCGAAAAGTAAGTGCCCCAGTCGTTATAGATGGTGTGCAGTTGATCATCCCTCCACATGATTTTCTCCCATGGCTCCAGGTGCTTTGCGATGGCTGCCTCTGGTACGGAAAGTCTATCAAACATGGTTCGTGTGTGTGAGTGAGTGAGTGTGTGTGCGGAAGTTAAAAATAGTTGCGTTTAAAATACTATAAAATAACAATTAAAAACTATTAAAATTGGCTATTAAAAACAAAAATAAAAAGAAAAGTCAAGTGTTGTTGGTGTGTTAAAAACAAAAGTTTTCCATTACTGATATGATATGTAAGCTTGAAGCTCAAAGGGAGCGAAACTGTCAAAGTTTGACAGCAGTGTAGAGCTTGCTGCTCCGAAACTTACATGAAATGCTGAATAATAAATAAAAACAGAAAATAAAATGCAAAATATTAATTTGTTCATCATTTAAATGTATTCAAATTCAACTTCGAGAGTTTGAAATCGAAGAATTAAATAATTACATATGCGTAATACATATTTATTCATTGAAGTCGACCCTCGATTATACGATATACGATATGCAGTGGAATTCCAAGAGCTCGAAATTGCTATACGATTTTCATCGAACCAAAAGTTCAACAAAATCCATTGTAAATTTTTCAAATACTTTTTTTTTTCTTGCATCAAATCATAAATTTTATTCTGTCTCATATAATGAATTATATGTTATTTTTACTTTTTCCTTATTAAACGCATTTTTTGTTTAAGATTTTCAGTAGATAAATCTCTATTGTCCCAATTCATCAATAATTTTCTCACGATAATCCCCGAAATTGATGGCCCTATCGCCAATGGAAATGTATGCCAGAGAGGAAATGTCTTCATGTTTGTATAAGGGCGTGCAAAGCAGCAGTGACTGCGTTCCGTGGTAAACATAATCAGTTTCTTTAAGGCAAATGGGTTGCTCTTTCGCCGATAATAGAAATGGATTTACCAGCACCAGAGGCTTGCTGGAAATATGCAAGGTAAATCATTCACAGCCCGCTATATATGAAATACTGTTATACTCACAAGTAGCGGTTTATCATGCTAATGTGGCGCACGTCGTAGCCGTGCTCCGTATTCGAATTGAAGCTCGTTGAGTGATTGCCCATTATAATGGAATATTCGGCTGTGCTGTACATGTCTGTCATATCCCATATGCCTAAATACGCTGACAACCAACGGATGGTCCTTGACCGTATCGAATGTCCTGCCACAGTCGGGAACGCACTTGAGTTTTGGCGAATATGCATGGCGCCTGCGCCAGTTGCCATTCGCTTTGCACTCGATTTCGCCCCGATCAATAGATCTGCTGGGTCGATAGCCCTGGGCACACCTTGTGATGGCAACGGTCCTGGGAGGGTGCAGCAATGCGGAACAGTCGACGATCTCTTGCTCGTAGGTGCAGATGGCTCGGATGCTGCGATCATTTGTGATCGTGCTGCTCTTGCAGCCCTTGATGCACTCAGCCCAAGGCGCCTTCCACTCGCCGTTGTCGCAGGTGTTCATATCGCTGCCCTGCCGCAGGTAATTACGGCCACAGCTGAGCCGCACCGTCGTCTGGTGCGGCACAGTTCCATCGCCCAAATAGGGCAGACCATTGTATATCGTTTTTACTCGCAAGTTGGAGCCGAACACCTTGCAGCTATTCTCATCCGTGCAGCTGTCCGTACCGTGGTGGAGGTGGTTGAGGCTGGACTCTTTTTGCCAAGGATATAAGTGCCACGGCGTGCCCAAGTCTTTGCTGCATATGGAAGCCAACTCATCGGAGCCATCGCGACAGTCGTTCAAATGATTGCACGCCGCAGTCTTGGATATGCAGGCGCCGTACGCACAGCGGAAGGAGCCGTGGAGACAAACGGTGGCCATACAAAGCTCAAGCGACTCGTCCGATTCATCGCGACAGTTTACAACGCCATCGCAAAGCTCTCCATAGGAGAGGCATTCTTTGGACTCTCTGCATTGAAACTGGCTGTATGGCTTGTCACTAGAATATAAAAGTAGGGGAAAATCAATGTGCAACAAAGGCGATCTTTTTTTTTTTACCATATTGCAGACTGACTATCATTAGACAAATCCTAAGGGCCGTCTTTTGTAATGAATGAAACATGGAATGCGTTTCAATATCGAGCTGAGCACGAAATATTTTAATTATATAATGTGTCGACTATTCGCGTCGAAGTCTTTTTGCGTACTGAGTAGAAATAATGTTAAGTCTGCCAAAATTTTTTTATGATTATTATTACTATTATTCTTATTATTATAGGGGCGTAAGCGCATTGTGTGATATGTACAGTCACCAATATTCACTGGGTAGTTAAGTCGCCTTCGTTGTGGTTGTTGATGCTGTTGTCTTAATATAAAATTTATTTTTTAATTTATAATTTTTTCATTGTATATATTATTTATATATTACTCATTTATTTTGAAATTTTTTGATGAACAACAACTGCACCAGTAATTTATTTTTACCAGCTTGAGCTGTCATTTTTCGATTCCTATTAGATTTGTAATCGTTTTTGTGTTGCTTTTTGTCGTGTTTTTGTTATGTCTGCAAATTGAAAGGCGGAGTCGATCAAAGCCGTCAAAACATTCACACACTCGACTGGACACTCTTTCATTTTGAATTCATAGTTTTTTCAATTTATTTTTGCCATATATTGTTTTTTTTTTTTGTGTTTTTTTTTTTGGCTGTACTTTTTCGCTTTTTGTTTTGCCAGCTTTGTTAGAAAATTGTTCAAAGCGGGTTTTTCGCACTTGAATGTTTCAATGCACACTCGTTGCCTAGCCATTGATTAAAAAACTGGATTCACCATTTGAATTCAAATTAAAGGCAGCCCTTTTTAATTGAATAAAAGAGTGAAAAAAAAACGAATGGATTGAGAAAAAAAGAGCAGCTCCAATTTTTAGAACGATATGATCAGACTCCAGAGCTCCGATGCCAACGACACTTCAGTCGAGTGTGTTAAGCTACAATCAGAGAACAAAATCTCTTTTGTTTTTACTTATTTATTTAAAGGGCACACTTTATTTTTCATAAAATTTCAGGGTTTTACAGTGTTCACTTAAGAAAACAGGATACCCTAGTCCTCATCTACATAAACATAAACATACACACAGGAAATTCTTTTATATAAGTATAAGACTTCGAAATCCCCTGAACCCTTCTAGGAATTGATATTTCAATAATTATTCGACCCTTTCTGCTTACACAAGAAACACTCAAATAGGCATGCATGCATAAGCACGCATGGACTGCAGTGTGGCTTACTATGGAAACTTAATTAATTAATTACTTTTCTTGTGGATCGTAATCATAATAATAAAATGCGTGTATGCGCCAAATCACAAATCTTTAGTATTTAAAATACGCATTTTAGAAATATGTGGGTGAGGGGTTGGATATAGGGGTGGGGGTTAAATTTTGACAACAAGCTAAATTATATAAAATACATATAAGTCTACATTCAAAGTTTGGAGACTGTAGCTCTAAGGATATAGAAAATATAATTGAAAACCTACTTTTCGATAAGGGTTTTAATCGATAACAAAATATCGGAAATAGTTATCGGTTTTGTGAGAAAAAACTCGATATGTCTGTGATATACACGGACCTTAAATGTCCGATGATATTTTTATGCACTGCACCTGTATTACGCATGGCGGAGCTCCAAGTGTTAATCACGAGGAGCTGATTCGATTGACTCATCTAATTTAGAGACTTTAAATTTCAAATGCATTTATTTGTATGCTGTCATTAGACAGTTTATAGACTCAACGTTTGATGCAATAAATACAGTTATATAGCATATATCACAGATGAAATCTTCAATTGCATGATGTATGCATTAAAGATCTTTTCGGGTTCAAATTAACAATTTGGCACTCCTGCCACATAGTTCTAATTGCACTTGCAGCTGCTTTGTGTCTATGTTGGAATTAAATATTTGAAATTGAATTACAAAGAGAGCGCAACCATTTAAAGTGGGTTTAGAATTAGAAGTGTGCCAAAAGAGAGTTAGAAGTTGCGAGTGTTGTATTAAAAATTAAAATGTTTGCAGCACAGCAAAGGCAACGTTTGATGTTGCTGTGGGGCCAGACACAGAGAGCGTCCAGGGAGGGGAGCGGCACAGTGATTGCTACAAAGAGTGCATAGAGTGACAATGGAATTGTTTGTAAATTGACAACAACAATATGCGCTGCTGTGATTCACGGCACGGCAAGCGACAACGAGAAGCGGCATTGCGCCAAAGGGGCGTATACGTTATATAGATTGACAAAAGCTGACAGACAGCCTCGCACAGTTAGCACACACTGAGAAATGAGCACAAATTGTATTGTCAGATTGTCGTTGTTACCATTTCTTTTATTATCTGTAGTTGTAGCTATTACTGTTGTTGTTGTTGTTGTCGTTGTTGTTGTTGCTCTCTACAGCTAAACTGTGTCAACAGCCACACAGTTTGTTAGTTAGGCTTGCATTAGTGGCTAAACTTCTGAAACAGCTGAGCTATAATACGTTTAAGTTTCCATAGATAATATTAAAATTGAGTGTAAATAAAATAAAATGGATTTCGCTTTGGGAATTAACTGCATAGAATCCGATAGTTGCTCAGTGAAGAGCAGCAGAGCTTGATAAAGATAGAAAGGCGATAAACAATTTAAAAAAAAATAACTGAAAAATTTTAAAGAATTTTTATATATATATGGTATTTTTTTTTTTTTTTTTTTTTTTTTATATATATATATTGGTATTGTATTATATACATAAAGACCTCAAACTTACATACATAAATACAAAAAACGGCAGAGAGGTATATGACCACTGCAATGTTCTAGCTTCTGGACTCCTCGAGAACATAAATAAAAGCAAACGGCGTTTAAAAAGACTCCACGTACTAGATTTGCCAAATAGAGAGTTAGACTTGTAGATTACCTATAAATGTGTAAAAATGTAAATATATGGATTGATCTCGTTGAAGTTCAATCCATCCGGTTATTAATAGTTATGGTTTAGAGATTTGCTTATTGTTTTGTACCAGACAGATTGCAAATAAAAAAAAAAAAAAAAAGAAAAAGAAATATATACACATACATATACATATATATGCATATGCATTAAAGAAAATAAAAAGATGTTGAACCATTGCGCAATTAATAAAGCTCCAAACTCGCCGCGAGAACTTTCAACCAGCCAAAAACTGTCGCCTCCTGCTTCGCTTAGTCAACGGCAGACGCAGCCCGAACGGAATCCACAACAAAATTTTGCGGCCACTCGCAAAGAGGAAGGTCTTCAAAACTTTTAGCCAAAGTTTGCGGTCGACTGGGTACGAGTAATGTATATATAGATCTATATATATATATATCTATTATACATTCATATATATGTGTATGTATGTATGTATGGTGTGTAGCTGGCTCTTATCCAATTAAGTCATAACTCAATATGTGCTGAGATATGCACTTGGCCATTACTTAGGCAAAGGCAAAAATTTTGCTCTAATAACTTTGGAGCTGATGCTTTCTTCCGTCTACTTTTTGGTGGCAAGCAGATAATTTTCACACCCCTCCAGAGCCACATTCAGCAGCAGCAGCAGCAGCAGCACGTAGCAGTGCGGCAGCAGCCCGGCAGGAGGAGGGGACGGCCGGACGGACGGACGGAGCAACAGCTATTCGGCTGCCTGGCATTGGCTTTTACGGCACCAGCGAGACGCTGCCACAACTCATTTGGCGTTGACCAGGACTATGTTGTTAGTTGCCCGCCAGCCCCCGCCCAGTTTCGGGCTCCTCGCCCGCCCTTGTGAGTTGCCTCAACTCCATCCATCTGCAGTTGAGCGCGCGCATAAATTATTCATTTGTAATGTGCCGCAGCACTCGTTGTCGGACCACCGGCGGGTGCTGTGTGTGAGATGGGTGAGAGGAGGGAGGGGGTGGTGAGTGGTGCACTTTTGGCACAGGATATGATACTGACACTCAACAACTACCCAGTGGAAACTGCTCTGGCATGGGCGGCTCTTGGCCGGGGTCTGGGTCTGGGTCTGGGTCTGGCTGTGGCTCTGGCTCTGTGCTCTTGGCGTTTACTTTCGGTTTGTAATTTCCTTCTGGAGTTTGCGGCATCGAAAAGGAACGGCAGCCCAGCCGTGGTGAGAAACAGCAAGAAGTACAGAGCAGAGCGGGGAGAGTACATTGCAAATGACGATTGCAACTGAACTGGGCAGCAACAAAGCCACCAGCAGCTCCCCAACCCCCTGCTGGTTTACCGCTGGCCTTTGGGGTAGCTGCGCTTGCAAACTTTAAAGTTTCTCTTGGATCTGCAGCTACATGTGTGTGTGTGAAAAGTTTCATTTGTGAATTGAAAAATTATTTTTAGTTTCATATGCAGAGTGTGTGTCATTTACAGAGCCAAGACGAGTGGAGGGGTGAAGTGGAGTGGAGCAGCCCGGCTAAGCCAAACAACTCAGCCAAGCAGCAACACCAGCAGCCATTGACAAAATGGAAAGTTGTTGACTTAGTTTCCGCTTCTTTGAGCCGCTTCTGTTGCCCCAGTGTTGCATGTGGCTGTTGCAACCTGCAGCTGGCTTTGCATGTGGCAACATGCGTCTTCAACTCTTTTTAATTATGTTCCTGCTTCGCTTAAATTGAAGCAATTCCACAAGTTTCAGCTGGCTTTAAGCTACCCCAACTATGGCGAATAATATTCTAAATTATTTTAGGCATTATTTTTTACATTTTGAGTCAATTAAATAAATAATTGCTGAGTTAGCACACATTTGCAGAGACTTGACAAGCAGCTTAAAGAAATTATCCACACAAATGGAATTAACATACGAAAGGGCTAAGAGCACGTAGCACCGTCCATTTGCTCCAAGTCCAAGCCGAGCTGCATGTGGCACGTGCGCACACGATGTTGCAGCTGAAATAAACTGAATTACATGAACTAATTAGGTATTTAGAGAGCAGACCTTATTGTCGGACATGTACGCAATGCTGGACCTGAAATATTAAGTACTATATAATATAGAAAGAGAGAGAGAGAGAGAGAGAGAGAGAGAGAGAGAGAGAGATGAACAACAAATGCTGGAAATATTTTTATAAATTTCTATTTAAGAGATTTATTTATGTTGAAGGATATCCTAATTAATGGCTAAAATTAAGTAATAGAGTTTACACATACATATATCATATATCATATACTGTAAATAATTAAGAAAAAGTAAAAGACATTTTTCAAATATACTTGAAATAAATATAATAAAGAACAAGTTATGAAATATTTGATTATTTACTTAGAATTAAAGTCACTTTCATTTCGGTTTGAATTGATTCTGTTTATTGCTAAGCTTAGGTAAGGAAAATATCAACTTGACAAAACGACAGACGAAACTCAAGCGCAGCCTAATTCTT